TTGCGACATACGTGAAACAATTTAAAGAAAAAAATTACAGTATATTCTGAGAAAATAATTGTTTAAAAATTTTTAATTGCATACGTTTTGACGCCAAGTTACACATATTTTCTAAAAACTGAACGTGACCTAATTTGAAGATCTGTTTTTGATGGACATATTTCATTCACAAACTCTCTTCATAATCGCAGTTGTAGCAAGAAAACGAAAAAAATTGAATTTTCGAAAAAACAGAAGTTCAACGAAAATTAAACCTGCACTATTCTCTTAAGCGTCCTTTACGCTATAAGAGGTCAAAATTCAACAAAACTAGTGGTACTACAGACTGGCACAGACTTTTCCGTATAAGTTTTCTATTTACTTTGGCCTCGGTTAGCTATTCAAACTCTTCTCATATTCTTGCCTACTGCCTATCGCCGCCCAAAGTACATTTGTTGACATTTTCTTAATTTTTCGGTTTCCTAATTGTAGAAGTATTCTAAATATTATTCTAAGATTATTAAAGAACAGTAAAACCTCGTCCTAAGTGGCAATTTTCTTTGAAAAAAATTGGAGCAGTTTTAAAAGAACTGGCGTTTAAGCGTACTGTAATTCGAAATTTAAAACCCCTTTTTCTAATAGAAAGTTTTTGAATTTTCGAAAAACTTAATTTGAAGTAATTTTAAGTGCTTTAACTCACAAATACAATAGTGCTCACAAATTGCTGGAAATGTGCATATCAACGGCGTGAGAGATCTTTCAAAAAATTTGTGTAATTAAAAAAAAAAAAAATACCGAAATTAACTTTACGTCATATTAAAGTGTGCAATCACCACTGTCCGTTCAAAATATTTGGAGAAAAAAATTGCAGCCGTTTTTGAGAAAATGGAGTTTGAACGTTTCTGAAAATGCGGAGTTTTAAATTAGTTTTCACAGAAAACGACAGAGTTTTCTAGAAACTTCTTACATTATTTAAAACACATGTACTCATAAATGCAATTAAGTGAACAACTTGCGGCTACTATAAATATTAATGACATGAGAGACAAGTCAAAAAAATATATATTTGTAATTTTTGAAAAAGCAAAATAATAGAGCAATGTGGCTTTTATGTCATCATATAGAGAACATATATCATTATTCCTATCAAAAGTTTAAAGAAAAATTTGGAGTCGTCCTTGAGAAAATATTGTTTTTGTAATTTTTTAAAATTGCACACATTACTCGTAATTGTCAGTAGAAATTTTCCAAAAGTTTCCAAAAAAATGTACATGATCTTAATGATAGGACACACTATGAAAAACAAATTTTATTTGAAGGGAAAATGTATTTCAATTTTGCAGTTGTAAGAAAAAGATCGAACTTTTTTTAAATTTTCGAAAATTTAGTGTTAAACCTGAAAATCGGACCTATGCCACGTTTGTATGTGTTTATTACTCTATTCTTATAAGAAATTTAAAGAAAATATTTGGATTTGTTTTTGAAAAAAAATTGAAAATGTCCGGAGGACTTCATACAAAGTACCCTTAAATTGTGAGAAAGTTTTTCAAAATCTAAAAGTTTCAATTTGAGCCAAATGGACAGGGGTTTCTTCAATTAAAAAAACATCCTACGCACGGTTTAGGCGCTAGTAGTGTTCACAGACAAAATGGACCGACGAACGGACGGACGTTAAAAAAAAACACTTTTTATAGAACTGAAATATTACTATAATATAGTTATAGTAACATTTCTGTTTTACCATTAGGAAACCGAAAAATTGAGAAAATATGTTCTTTGGGCGGCAATAGATGGCAGCCGGCAAGAAGAGGGGGCAAGAGAGAAAAGCTAGCCCTTGACCAAAGAAATTAGAAAACTCGTTAGAAAGAGAAAGTCTGCTACACTACTAGTTTCTTTATTAGCCGGGAAAATTGATTAAGTGTGATTTTATTAAATGGGTTCTAGTGGAATTATTTGGAACCTCTCACTTGCCCTTAACAATTACAGTAAAGATTTCTTTCGTAATTTAATGCATTTGAGGACACAAAGAATGCCAATGCTTTTTTTTGGAAGTTTCTCAAAATTTAAAGGATTTTCAAGATAAGGTTCAAAATGAGTATTTTCAAACATATTCTCAACAATAGGTTCAAATTTCTTCCGAATTTTTTTAAGTTCAAAAGAGTTTGCTTGTCTATGATATTTTGAAAGCTTCAATTAAGCTATGAGACAAAAACTTGATAACGTGAAAATTTTGATGTAATGAGACACAATATATATAATATAACTAGTGGTGCTACAACAGCACATACTTTCTCGTAATATTACAATGTTATCGTTATGTACGACGGGACACCCATAATGCTTCAGTAATTTCAAACAGAAATTACGCAAAACGACTTTTACAAAAAATGTACATTATCTTTTTAAAGAGCTAATTTTATACAACAGACTTTGTCGGAGGCAATCTTCAATTTTGTGGTTTTCAATTATTTTTGCAATTTTCAAAACTAATGAGCAATGCCCGAAAACGGGAATATCATCATATTAAAAAAAAAAAAAAAAGAAGAAGAAGAACCGTTGGAGTATACCAGATCCATGATACAGTTACAAGTTTCCTTGTTACAGTATCATGGATCTGCTATACTCCAACGGTTCTTTTTTTACACAGTCCGTCCCTTATTACATACTGTGGAGAAAATTAAAAAAGCAGATTTTGGGATAAAATCGTAAATTTTAAACGTAAATTAAGAAAAAAATACTAGTTTAAAATATGTACAAAACCTTTTTTAAAGAGATAATTGTGTACAACACACTTGGTATAGGTCAAAAATCTCCATCTTCAATTTTGTACTTTAAAAAATTGTTTCTGCAATTTTCGAAAAATGAGGGAGTTTAACGAAAATGAGATCTGCATCATTCTCTTAAACGTTCTTCGCATTACTCAACAAAATTGGGGGGAAAAAAAGCCATTTCTTTTGAAAATGTCCGAGGGTTTCATGTAAAGTAGGTATTCTCAAACTTAAAATATCGGTATTAAATTCCAGGGACCACGACATCAGTCCAAATGGTTGGGGAATATCAGTCAGAGAGATGTCAGTGTTGGAGAACTCAATTCCCACCCACGTGATTCTTGTAAGCCTCTCTTTATTCATCTAGGTATTTTACCATTACCTTGTCTCTTCATACATGAATGTTTTTTGACAAAAATGACTTACTTAAGGGCGGTAACACATTTTCAGCAAACGCCTTTGTCTATAACTACAACACTCGACATAGTAATCATTATCATCAGGTGACAGTATCTACAGCTCACTACAAAAAATCACATATAATACATGTACATTATTTTACATCTTGCCAAAGGGCATTAAACGATAAAATTTGATACACAAGTTTAAGTCCCAAGAAAAATATTTACTGCTGCACAACTGTTTCTATACAAGAGTCTATACTGAGCATCCAAAAGGAAAGTAATATTAATGTTAACAATGACATTTAATGTATTATATACCATTTGGATTGTATAATTGTAAAGAACCTGTAACAAGTATTGTACTTCAGCTTCTGGGTCAATGACCCCCATCTCGATGAGGTTTTCGTCCAGTTTCCCTGATCCTCAAGCAAATGCTGAGATGGCCCCTTGTTTTGCTTCTGGACATAAATGTAACTTCAAATTAACTTCTCCCCACAACACATCACACACAGTTTTTAACTGTTTTTGACGTATATAAATAAATAATATATTTATAATACATAACAAATGTCAGGAGTAATTTTTTGAAGATGAATGAATTTTTAAGCAAGCATTTCAAATAATTACATAGAGAATGGCATTTACATCCATTGATTCAGTACTGCTAAGCAAGCTATTGGACATGAGTTTCTCTAAGCAGTTTGTTCAAGAGACTTTTACACAAGCAGAAATAGGAGTACTTCATTTTAGTTTTCATCAGTGTTTTATGTAAAATTTTGATCTTGGGTGTGATAATTGTTTCGGTCATCAACAAGAACATACAAACTAGGTTAACTATATTTTTATAAAAGTACATTACAATAATGAAATAGATGAATGGAGATATTTATAATAAATGTAGTTGTAGGCAGATGGATTACAAATCTAATATATATACATTTGGTTTAATTTGCATAGTGAAATTAATACATAGTGAATATCATAGGTAGAGTCCAGAAGATCAGACATTTATTTTATGTGAAATAGGCCAGCAAATAGGCATTCATTTTTAGTAAAGTAGGCATGCAAAAACAGATTTATTCTGGCTAAAGAAGCGGGTGCAAAAGGGCATATAAACAATGAAAATCATAATTTAAATTATTCAAATTTTTATTCTAATTTTAAAATTTATAATTGCACTTTCATGAAAGGATACAATCTTTTCTTTGTGATCTTGAATGATGATGTCCATCCAGTGCGGAAATTATAAATTTGTTTCACTTGTGATGCTGTCTCTTCGAAATGCTATTTTGGACTTCCTTTGGAATCTTGGAATGGCATAAGTGAAAACACAATATAATCACGTTTAAAAGTAATAATACATAACTAATTGTATAACATGTGTAAAACTAAGTTTTCGTTCTTTGCACTTGTGTAATTGCTAGCACTGAGAAAGGATCGTACATCACATACATTGTTTAGAGTGTTGACCTCAAAAGGGATTAGAGGCCGTTGTCAAAAGTAGGATGAGATTCCTCATGAGCAAATAAAGCCAGTCAGCATCAATGCAAGATAAGAAATCTTGACAGGTGTCATCTTTCTTTTTTATTTACATTTTTAAGATCACCTGAGCCTTGTGCCTCTGCTTGCAGTCAAAGATACAATTCAAAAGTGCTGCTGTGTTGTCTCGTTTTGCAGGTTTCCAGCTTGATCATGCTCAGTGTCAGGAAAAAACAGAAAAGAAAGAAAAAAACGAAGAAAAAAGAGGAAATAATGATGAAAAGGAAGAGAAAGGCAAAAATAGGGCAACATACTAAAAATAGGCAATACACACTAAAGTAGGCAAAATTAAAATCTACTGTAACACCTCCACAGGTTACAATTTACGTGGATTCCTATTGTTACAGCTATTAACATACCTAGAAATGTTATGAATGTTATTACTAATAAATAAATGAATTCTGATGCTGTGGCACGATATTACGAGTGATACTACAATGGGTGTTGCTTGCAATATATCTATTTAAACAATATTCGTATATTGTGATTTGAGAAAAGATGAATACAAATAATTCCCCTGATCCTAAAGATACTTAAAGAAATGACGTTCGATGAGGAAGATGGCCAGTCGACTTCTAGTGGTGACACCTTCAGATCGTCACTAAATATGACTGCTGGAGAAGCGTTTCATTTGGTGAAATGCCTGGAAAATACGGTTAATTTACCCAACACACTTTTTTTAATTGTACTATTACAATTAACATTAATTATCCCCAAAACCAATGAGTTACTTGATTTCTACAAAATATGGCAGTTTTTTCTTAATAAACATATGACTTGCAATGAATTGATGGTTGTTTATTTAAGTGGTTAAGGTTATGATATTAAAACCCGCTGCTAAGTATGTTAAATTTCTTAACATAAAGGTAGATACAATACTACCCTTGCATGTTAACAGAGGTCAAAGTTACATGTGAAGTCATAATTCATAACAATAAAAAAAAATAAAAAAATAAAAAAGGATAGATTGTATGCCTGAGACATACAATTATATTCTGTGAAAGAGGTCATTCGAGTATTTATGTATGCAAATTTTAGCCTTTTCTAACCAACTTGTCACCCTGTCTCTTGTAACAACTCTTAAAACCTAAAAACGATCCACTCCAAAATATGAACATTCCTTTAAGTACATTCTGCATCAAAGGTATTATACATGCCGTTACACACATTTTATTGTAATCAGAAGTGATACACTGGATATTTTATTGTTATCAGTATTGTATTGCATTTTGACTCAATTATAAGCAACATAATTTATAAACATCACAGTTTATTGTTCAACATTACAAGAAGAGCAGCCATACAATTTTAATACGTGATTTTACGTTCTTAGAGTAATATCAATTTTTTCTTAGTTTACGTTCTTCCTTTTTCATTTTATTTTCATCATATAGTAACATATACTCCTGCTATAAGTTACAATCTATTTTGTATATCACAAAGAATTATAGAAAAGCTATAAAAGCTTCTCTTAATATCTCTAAATGTATTGGCCACACATTGTAGATAAAATTAATTTGGCAGGACATTTTATATGTTTGAACTAGAATTACAAGATTTTATATTGATAGTCTCACTAGGCATTAAATTGAAATATAATTTTTTTTTTTCATAAAAGAAAGTCTTCACAAAATCACTCCAATCAGTACTGTATAATACACAATAAAAATATTTAAATTATGATTCAAAAGGATTCAAATTTTTATCATAATCATCATCTTCACTAAATGGATTGGTCGACAGTTCTTCAGTAAAAGGGTTGTCTTCTGCAAATGGATTCTTGGCTTCATCATAACTTTCATCCTCTTCAAATGGATTTGTGCTTGAAATGGCCGGAGCAGAAACTTGAACGAGTTGTACAGGAGGCACAGACACTAATTGTCGACTTACAGGAGGGCGAGGGGGCGAAGCTGCTACAGGATTCAAATCAACAGTAGTTAGTGGTCGTCCTTCATCCTGGCGCATTCGGCCTTCAGGAACTGGTACTGTGATACCACCTCCTCTACGTGAATCTTGTGCTATGGAAAAAAGAAAAAAAAAGTTTCTTTAGGAATGAAGAGATACTGGGAAAGCTGGCAAGTAACATAATTGGACTGAAATGTGGTTTTATTACGTAAATGTCAGTCAATTCCCTTTAGTGAACGTTGCTTAGAACAATCATGATATCGCCAGCAAACACTTTTGATGTTGTAAAGCCTAATTTTGCTTGTCTAGTAGAAGTTTGTCCCTTCTTTGGCTGATCCCCTGACCCTTTATACCCATAAAACACAGTTAAAATAATTATTGTGTACCTCTTTCACCATCATTTTCTCCACTAATGAGACTATTTTTCTGAATTCTCTCTTTTCCATTGTTTTTTCATTAATTTTCACTGGTAAGAGCAAAAAATAAAACTATTTGACGAGTTTTCAGTGTTTACGACTAGAGCACGAGCTGAGAGTTTGAAATCTTGAAAGCAGCATTAGTGTTGCATTAGGGAAGACGAGGTGGATGTTGCTTCCAGAAAAATATAAGGAAAAGATTAATAGAATCTAACACATTTTTCTCGCAGGTTTATACTTCCTCAGCTTCGTGGTCATTTCCTAACCTAAAGGTAGACTTATTGTCACATCAAACAGAAACCAAAGTGAAAAACCTTGAGAGACAGAGATCCAGAAAAGTTTCAATAATCTTTAATTCGTCACTGCACTGAAGTGTCAAGTTAAGTTGTTTAACTACACTTATCTTCCTCTATTTTTAATTATACACATTTAGTCATACAATGGATAACATTTTATGATGTTCAAGTTTTAATTTCAGGATGACTGTATTTAAGTATTTACACTTTGAAAAGTATCTTTTGTGGTGTTATGCTGTCTGGATTGTCTGTTCAGATTTTCTCATATTATGCTGTCTGAAACTATGGACAGATATACAGTAAACCCTCATTAATATCAATTTGGACATAACATGAACAAATTTAGATTCGAACAGGGAAACATTATGTGTGTGAGTAAGGGTCTATATATTTAGTAAAATTTGTCTAAGCTGGGATACACACCACCTCACTGCCTAGTGGCTACAGTCGGCATGCTTGCTGACTGGTTTAAGGCACAAGTCATCACAGCCCAGAGTACTATGACTTTCTCATAACCTCACATGGCCTTGTGTGCCTCTGCATTAAATTCACTCTACCTCAATTGCATTAAATTCATAGGAATTCTGTTTTATAATCCCCCTTCCCCTGTAGAACATCAAAAAACATTCCATTTTTGCATTGGAGGGATTCAGTTTCATGCTGGGTAAAATGCCATTTAACTTCTTGGAGGGGGAATTTTCCAGTTAGGGCAAGGCTTGTATCAACCAATCACAGTGAACATATGATCTCAATTTATTTAACTGTGGTTATGAAAGTCGTTAAAAAATTGCAATTCATTGATTGAGTCAACATTACGTTACATGACTTACATAGTTCAATGAAGACTAATTTAATAAAAGTAAATTCTTGCAAGAATGAGATGGACTTTCATTCAAAATCTGATTCAATACACGATTTTGATGTAATTTAGTACCAAAATCATACAGACAAAACAAAATTGGGAAATTATTGAGGATTTTACTGTCAAATATTTTGATATAATTAATTAATGAAAAAATTAAATTTTCAAGTATGAAGAAAAATACATTATTAATAGGAAGTCTGAGTATAATTTAATTTACGTACCTTTTTGTAGACACTTAAAGTTCATTTTTTGAAATAATTAATTTGGTAGTAATATTAGGAAATGCACACCTGTCTGAGAACGTTGACCTTCTCCAAGACGTATTCTAGCTTCAGCACCTGGTCCATAAGAATGAAGAGGTTCACTAACTTTTGTTATTATAAGTGGCTCTGCAACAAATGATATTAATTGAAACATTACAGGTTTCAGGTTCATCACTGACTTAACTAAAATATCTCAGATGGACACTAAAAATGTTATGTCTTCTTGGCTTGCCGGGTTATGCCGAGTCATAGGCTGAGAGGTCCAAGACAATATTGGTTACGTAAAATTATAATTCTGCAAAAGTATTTATTTTCTTTGCTTTCATCATAGTGGCTACATTTACAAATGTTAATTCAAATAATTCACAGAATGTATTGCGTTTTCTGAAGAATGTCTTCTTGATTTTCTTTCTGTTTGCGCAGCGACATCTACAGGTTTTCATCTTTCATTCAGTGCAGATTAAATAACTTCCATGCAACTTTTTCAAATTCTACATCTCTAACAACCAGAAAATACCAGCAACTCTCATTTACAGAACAGCTACTTGCAATGGCACATACTTCTTGGGGTGAGATTTGGAACTGCTTGCACTGGCCGTAGAACTTTTAGCCCACTATATGTATTATAGGCAGTGAGACACAGACTACATAATCAATCTTTAAGCACTTAGTACTTAGTAGGCTTTCAATGTTACAATTGTCAATAAATATAAATAAGTAACTTCTATAAGAGCTTGTATATCCAATATCATCCATTCAATATCCTTGGGAATTTCAGTTAACAACTCCATTAATATATGAACAGATATTTTCCTTTTGAACAAACATTGGCCTTTTTTGACCAGAGACAATCTTATATTTTTGCAATTTTTTGAGACTGTTCAAAAAATTAACACAAAAATTTAAAATTAAAAGAGAAGAACTAGGAAGTTTTAACGATTAAAGAATGAATAAAACTAATGACTTCAAAACCTTCCCAACAAAGAAATCTAAAACACATATAAAAACTAATACTATTGAATTCTATTAAATAACTGTGGAATACTACATTTACATACTTGCAGGCGCTGTAGGAGTTGAAGCAACCGAGTCAGTGACAACTGTAAGTTTATTAAATACTCCTCGACCAAAATAATCAGCTACAAGTGAAAAACCATCTTCAGCTCTCTCCAGCTGACTGTGGAATGTTTCATGCAAATCACGACTCTGTTCCTATGAAGCAAAGTTTATACAAAAATGTAAACTTAAATTAAATCATGAACAACTGGAATAAAGTTTCAATGTTATAATGTACAAACCTGGGAGCGAATAATATCAAGAATCTTTTTATTATTCGGTAAGCAGGCAGGGCATTCATTTTCATTTTCAGCAAAACTCTGAAAGCAACTGTAAAAGATTTTTTTTGATTTTACAGTCAGTATTTTGCACAATTTTACATTCTAAATTTGCCTAATTTTTCTCCAAAGTTCTTGATTAATGTTATAAAATTCAATTTAGCACCGTAGAGGGCGAGTCAATTATGACGCCAGTATGTTAAGTTGTTTTTTCATTTCAATGTTTTGGGACTGCATAAGGCCTCACCTGTCCAGGGACTGGAATGGATATCAACATTATCTTCTTGTTAATGTGCTTTCTGATGACAACTTCTTCAAATTTTTCTCAGTCTTTTGACTTATGATACAACCCGAATGTACTTGAAATATAAGTCCATTTGAGGATGTTAATCAATCAGGACATCCTTTTCTTGCCAACTCCCCTTCTACTCTCAATTTTCTCCAGCATTATCAGTTAAAATAGTTCATATATGGGTTTTCTAAGAAAATAACTAAGATACAGTTTTTCCAATTTCAATACTTTTTAATATCTATAAACGTATATTCCATTCTAGTATATAATCCTTACGTACTTTGTCAAGGAATTCTTAATATTCTTCTAATCATCCACATTTTGAATGCCTCCAATCTCTTAACAGATGTTGTTTTCAGTATCTATTTTTCAAAGGTATACAAGAGAACAAAAGTCATGTATGGTCACATCAATAACATTTATAAACAGATCCAATATCAGAGATAAAGACACTGAATAATAATATTTACCTAAACTAAGTTCATTAAATATACAAAAACATGTTAAAAGTTGGAATTAAACATTCCAAAAGGAACTATTGATTTAAAAAAAAGCATGGGCGGCATTCTTGGTTAGGAATAACAGTAGGTTTGTTACAAAAACAGTTTGACTACAAATTTTTAACATTAACCGTTTGAATACAATTCATTACAAATATAGTTTGAATAAAAAATAAATGACAAAACTAATGGTGCAACACAACACATTTTGTACTTTCTCACATTACTTTTAACTTTTACAATTTAAGAATATTCAACAAAATTAGATCAGCTTCATTCTTTTAAACATCCCTTGTTCTATCCATGGAAAAGAAATGAAGAGAACATTTTTTGAGGGTATTTGAGAAAATGCTTTATTTATTTGCACTAACATCCAGCAGAAATTACTTGAATACTACTGTTTGTACTTGACCTTTTTTAAAGACTTTTTTCAACAGATTTTATTTAAGACAAAAATCTCTATCATTAATAATGTACTTTTGCAACGTTAACATTGTGCAATTTTCAAAAAATTGTTTGACAGAAACAGGACAAGTACAACTTTTTTATTGGTTTTCGACACATATGAGAAGAAAATTTAAAGAAAAAATTTGGGGCAGTTTTTGAGAAAATAATAATTTGAAAATTGGTTTCACTTCATACAAAATTATGCGAAAAAAGTATCACATTTTTGAAAAATTGTATATGATCTTATTTGAAGATATCTTTGAAAGATTGATTTGATTAAACAAAAAATATGTTTTAAATATTGTAGTTTTTCACGTAGGGAGTACATGACCTTGACGGTGGTGGTGGAACTCAAGTACCCCCGTGATCCGGAGAGCTATGCCAGCAGTAGCGTAGCTACTGGTAGGGCCTCCCTTGCCAGACTGGTCAAAAGGGAGGGGTCAGACGAAGAAGTACTCCAGAAGAGGATGGAGGCATAAGAAGAGAACATCTGGTACAGTGCGCTGAAGAGGATCTCGAAACGACGAAGAGTTAGGCAGACATCCTAGCCTACATATCTACCGAGGGATGAAGGGTACAGGTATGATCTCACCAACAAAACAAGAAGATTTCTAAAGAGATCTGGGCAGGAGGAGCTCAAAAGCTCAGTGTAGCCATCCTCCTAGGGGAGGAGACCCTAAAAAAATCCTGTTCCTCCTTGTAGGGGGTTGGGACGATAGGCCAGCTCCTCATTGTCCATTTAAAAACTAAGAAATGCTAAAAGGCCTAATCATGAGAAAACGGACAGTAACCGGAGACAAACTAGGCAAAGGAAATGGATAATGAATATTGGAACATGGAATATTCAAGGTTTGGGAAATAAGATACAGGAGGTAATTAAGGATCTTCAAGATTTAAATAGGATATTGCAAGTTTAAGTGAGACAAAGAAAAAGGGCTTGAGTGTCGAAGGATCAGTTGAATCCTATGTTCATATTTGTAGTGGAGCACCAAAAGATCAGAGGGGTAGTAAAAAGATTTCTCTTCTTCTTTCTTCGACGGTTTCTACCCCTTAGAGTTTACTATTTTTGATTTCGATAATTCTCTGTTCTCCCATTGACCCTCTTCCAAATCTTTCTCCTCCAAAACTTCATGTATATATTTCTTCCAGGTTAAACCAGGTCTACCTCTTCTATGTCTTCTTTCAGGTATCCAATTTAAAATTTGTTTTGGCTATCTCTCATTTCGCATCCTCTGGACATGTCCATACCATTGAAGAGCTTTATTTTCTAGTCTCTGGTTACGGTTGTTTGAACCCCAGCTCTTTCCCACACCACTTCGTTTCTTATTTTATACAGTCTTGTTATCTGCAAAGATCTTCTCTTAAAGTCGAGCTCTACCGACCGTATTCTGTCTCTACGGCGTTTTGTTAACACATTTCTGCTCCATATGATATAATACTTTCCACGATACTGTGGAATGTGTCGTTTTGTGTCTTGCCTTAAAACACTATTCCATATAAGGCCATGCAGAGCTTTGATTGCATTCCTCCAATGCAAAAGATTTCTATAGTCATAAAAAATAAATTCAGAAAGCATATTAAAAGTTGGGAAGCCATAGACGAGATAAAAGTAAATTTGGAAAATTTTAGATACAAAATGACGATTCTTGGAGCGTATGCGCCAAATGAAAATGAAGATACTAGTATTTTAGAGGAATTTTACTCAAAAATAGTCGGAGTAATCAGTGAATGTGGGATAAATAGAGAACTTATCTTATTAATGCTAGAGTGGGAAAATCTGAGAGCTCAAAAGTCATTGAACAACACGGAGAAGTGGTGGAAAATTCAAATGGAAGAAGATTAATTCAACTATGTAAACAACATGAACTTATAATTATAAACTGCCAATTCCAGCATAAAGACAAGCATATGTTCACTCGGGAAGATAAGGTAAGAGGAAGGAGATCAGTGATCGATTATTTAATCACTAGAGAGTATTTAACGGGTAAAGTAATCGATGTCAGGGCATAAAAAGGCCCAGAATGTAAATCTAACCATTACCTAGTGAAGGCCAAAATAATGTTTCCACCCATAAAACAAAAAGAAATGGAGATCAGAGAATGAAAGGAAGACAAAAACGAAAATAGCAAACATAGGAAATATAATATAGCGGGTCTACCACAACCAAGTATAAGATATTTATTTTAAAACCAGATTGGATAATTTACTGAATGAAAACTTAGTTGGATCAAATGAGGAGACATATGAACACCTCAAAGATTGTCTACATCAAGCGGTTAAAGAAGCGCTTGGTGAAATACCTTTAAATAAGAGAAGAAGAGAAAAGAGCTATTGGATTGCTCAAGACCTGGAGTGGGAAATAGAGGAGAAGAAGAGACAGTTTGGAAAATGGTTGAGTACCAAGAAAGAAGAAAATAGGGTGGAATATAAAATCCAATGAAATAGAGTTAGGAACATCATAAGAAAAGCAAAACAACAATCATGGGAGCGTAAATGTCAAGAAGTAGAAATGTACATAGGTGGAATAAAAAGGAATGAGATTTGGAAGTTTATAAAAGAGGTAAAATCTCCCCAAATGGAAAAAATCCACATAAAAAGTATATCTGCAAGCAAATGGGAAGAGTACTTTAGAAAATTATTAAATGAAGGAATATCAGATTTTCTTGGAACTACAGAAAGGGAAAAAAATATCTCTGGCAAGGGAAATTACAGTAACTGAAGAGAGGATGCTTTTTTTTATAAATTGCATAAAAATAAAGCACAAATTATGCAAAAACTATATGTTTTTTCAGACTTGTACATGACCTTTTCTAAGAGCCAATTTTTTAGAATAGATTTCGTTTCTAGAAAAATTTCTATTTTCAATTTTGTAATATTGAAATGTTAAAGTTTGCAATTTTTGAAAATACAGAGTTTGTCAGAAATGAGACTGGCACAATACCGTACTTTTACACTTACAAAGAAAGACACTTTACACTTATAAAGAAAAAAAAATTGGAGTAATTTAGAGAATTTAAAATTGCCTATATTTCACACAAAATCTACCCATATTTTTGAAAAATTGTACATCACCTTATTTCAAGATCTTTTTTAAAAAACTGATTTCATTTAAACGGAGAGTGTACCATGTAGGTGAAATTTGCTAATATTGATGTACTTTTTCTAGAAAATGGTTAACAAGAAAATTTTGATATTTCACACACTAAAAGATAAAACCTTTTTTTAATAGTTTAACATGTTTTGAGATGATTGAAAAATAATTAGTAGCCTGTTTTCAATTATAACTTTTGCCCTAATATTTTCAGCATTTTTGGACAAACATTTTTTTAATTGAAGAATGTTTATAGAAAATGTCATATTATTGCTTATACTATAAAAATGTATCCTGTAAATTTCAATAAATTGTGAATAATAGTTTCTGAGAAGAGATGCATTAATTACAAAATAAGTACATCTTTGGGAAATGCCATGTAAAAAAAGTCTGCACTTGCCGCTGCTCTACTAGAACATTCCTGATCTATATTCAGGATCATGTTTAGGGGAAAAGACCAATGCTACCAACATATTATCAAGAGTATGTTTCTTTAAATCATTAACATCCTAACATGCATTGAAAATTGGGCAAAAATAGCACATACATTGCACATACTTGTATGCGATTAAAAACTAATGGGGCATGGCTCATGTGCACTAGGACAATTAAATAAGAATTAAATGATTTCCCAGGTATTCTATTAAAAAAAGTGATATATTTGAAAAGAGCAATATTTGAACTATTTATTTAGATAACAAAAAACCATAATGAGACCCATTTTATGGTACTCTCTTTCTTTAAGAAAAAATCTCTCTTCAATATTCTAATTGAAGAAATACGCCAAAGAATGTCTTAACTTTAATATTAACTAAAAAAAATCAAGGATTTCAATGAAAATGAGATGTGCATCAATCTCTTACATTTGTAGCGGCTTTTACACTATTTGAGGACAAAGTTTAATAAAAAAATTTTAAGCCATTTTACAACACTCTCTTCATGAAATAAGGGTGAGAACATAAAAATGATATTGCATTGTAATTACAATCTTCTATCAGATGTTAAATATCACTACTGCATTCCTTTTTATTGTAACAAATTAAAAACAGAAAAAGGTTTCATTGTACTGTATCAACCGCATTCTATCAATTAGTCTAAATACCACTTTGGTATACATTTTTTTCAATGGTTTTACATTCAAACTATATTTGTAAAGAATTGTATTCAAGCAGTTTATATAACATACTTTGTATTTAATATGTTTTTTCGTAATGAACCTGCTATTACTTGGTACCATGAAAACATTCCATGGAGATTTTTACATTCCATGATGAATTTTACATTCCATTCTTTTCATTGTTTACGTTCCTTTTTGTCATTGTTTAATTCCAAATTGTAATATGATTTTGTGTATGTAAAGAGCAAGGTAAGAATTATTATAATTCAGTTGCTCTGTCTGTGAAGTTATATGAAATTTGTAATGTTGATATTCATTCCGGTACCTGAAAAAGTGGGGTGTTAAGCACCCACACAAAATGCTAAAAATCAAACAAACAACAATAACAACTTAACATATTGATGTCGGTGTTGTAATTTACTCGCTTTCTAGTGTTCTAAATTAAATTTTACAATAATGTTTTAAATTACCAGATTTACAGGATTTATACACAACTAGTTATCAATCAGTTGCCTTGTGTTAATTACCTGATAAAAGGTGTGATAACTAAAATCAGATATTAAAATTTTAATTTACAGTGATAAGTAAATGGATGAACACAAATGGTTAAGATTCTATGAACATCTGAATAAATTTGAAATTTCACTAATATCTTTAAAATACAAATACAAGTTCAGGAATTGGAGAAAAGTTACAAACATATCACAAAAATAAACACTTTTTTTCATTTTCTCAAATGAATTAGAACGTTGACATTTTGAAAAACTATGGTTTGAGAAATTGTAAGTAAAAAGAATTTTAGAAGAATTAGTGATCATAAACTTGATGCTATTCCGAATGATGTCAAAGAATTTTATTTCTTTCTCCAACAGCATTCAGCAAAGGTCTGAAGAGTGAATTGAAAACTAACAGTATCAACAAAGGCACTCCCAATTACTCTTCAAGCAATCCTGTAATGAGAATAATAATGCAAATGTGCAATAATAAATGTACAAAATTAGAACGGCAATGATACTAAAACAAAATAATATAGATATTTGAAATCATTTTGTATTTAACACTTATATATTTATATTATTGAACATTGTTTTAATAATCTATCACTGGAGAATATGTTCAAGTATTGAATCACACATCAGAATTAAATATTCAAGATATTTTACTGATAATATCATTAAAAACATTATTAATAGATATTTTCAAAATATTGTTCATATTGATTTTTTATTATTAAGAAATTCTCAAACAAACTAGAACTCACTGTTGGTGGTAAGAATGTTGACATAAAAAATGAACTGATGGTAGCTCTAAAGGATGATGACAAGCCCAACATCGAGCCCCCTGGAAAACCACCGCCTGGGTCTGAGCAGTGCGTATTTGTTCTCTCAATCTCTCTGTCTCTTGCTTGTACTTTTCAATGAGAGTGTTTTCTTGCTGTAGCAATTCTCCTTCAGCCGCTAATACACTCAGCAGGTATTTCCGTGCATCACCCAAGGTTGCCACTCCTCCAGCACTAGCTAAAGCATCCACAACCAGCAATGGTGGAAGCAGCCTTTCTTTCTCTAAAAGACAGAAATTAAATCTGTGCTAGCTGATCTAATGCAGTCAGTAAAACAGTCATTAATAGGGAGAGGATTTATAGGCTCTAAAAAATCTTGAAATATGCTTTTAAAAATATGCCTTTATGACATGAAAGTTCTAAAATATGCACTTCAATATGCAATTAAAATTAATAATATTTCATTTCCTGTATAAAACTTTCTTGATAAAGTTAAAGAGAAGCATGCTGGAAATGCAAAGATATACTTCTGTGCAAACAAAATAATTTAGCTTACTTCTTGGAAGAAATAATTGAAGTAAATATGCACCTTAGTGAAGTACACAGTAAGTTTTGTTTCATTTCGTCTGTCTGGTTTAACAAATATGATATCAAGAAATATCTCAAGGGAAAAAAGACTGAGAGGCTCTTTGTAATCAATTAATATTCACATATAAGTAAATTCTATGAAATTATAAATCGTTTTACAGGAAAGTCTGTATTTTAATGAAATATGAAAAATATACTCCTATAATTACACGAATATGCACCAACAGAAAAATCGGTCAAATATGCACAAACATTAACCTATATAGCATCCAATTCTAACCAAGTGTCAAGAAATTTCACTTAGCTATGCCCTGAAGCAATGGACAAAAATAAGTAAAATCATAGATCTTCACTCCCTATTCATTAATAATGATCATACCAATCACACTTAATACTTCTCCCAGAACTTGACTGGGGGTGTCAGTGTCTTTGGCACATGCTAGGAGTGCCTGAATCCAAAGGCTGGGATCTTGGTTCCCAAATCTTCGGCAGGCAGCTAATACAGATGAATAATCTCCTTGCCTTAAATGATACTGAACTATTTGTTGATACCTAAATAATAATAATAATAATAATAATAATAATGCAATTAAATTTTTTTACAAAAATTAATTATTTTGTATGAAGAAACTCACAGTTTATTCTCTTCATACAAGTGAAGCAGACCAGGCCGAAAATCCAAAGCCTGACACAAAACAAGAGCTTGTTCTTTATCATAATTAGCATCAGGACTTTGCAAAAGTCGTACAGCTTGTGTTTCCAGCATCCGAGCTTCTGCCAATTCCTCCTTTAAATGCAAATAATAATAAGCCAAAACACAAAACTTCACTAGCATATTTATTTCTCTCTCCCTCACTCTTGCATGTACTTCCTCCCTTTTCTCTCCTTCTCCACTTAATAAAAAATATTAAAATGACACGTAATAACCTTTGCATGTGCTGCAGCCCACAAATGAAGTCTATGTTCAAACAGAGCATTATACACTAGGGCATTCTGCTGGGGCCGGGTGGAGCACACATGTTCCAAGAATTCTACCAGTCGGGAAGAATTGTTGAGAAATAGATGCAGAAAATCCTCTGCATCAGCACACTCTGCTGGTACAGCAGGTCCTGCCCCTTGAGGACGATATGCAGTGCACAACTGCTTCAAAAGTGCAGTTGCTTCGGCAGGAACGTGTTGAAGTAGCACACTTCCATATCCACGCATCATAGATTCTGCCTATAATGGAAAAAATATGATTAGACATACAGTTCAAAATAATATTTTTAAAACTTAATTTTTTTAACATGTATGTGATAGCCACTTATCTGAATATATTTCAAAAACATTTCAGTTTGCCAAGTTATTTCCTTCAAATTACAATGAATTCAGTATCAAAAATGTATTTACAAGGTAATTTTTAGATCTAAAAGATAAGTGAAATGCAACATACAATGAATACGAATTATAACACACATTGTTTCATGATGTGCTGATAGATGAGTCCGTAAGTACTCTGTTTGATGCACATCTTTTGCCTATTTATTAAAAATTATCATTTTATTTTATGTATTAACATACATTCTGACTTGAGTCCAATGTACTTTTTACATACATACAATGAATACAATACAATACATACATACATACATACATACATACATACATACATAACACACTTGAAAGAATTGCTTTTACGTTCATTCTTATCATCATTACTATGAATTTTTTTTTAGCTTTGTACATAATGAAAATAGATCTCTATTGTTGTTGAAAAACACAATCACACAATGGTTTAATCAGTTACTGTGTTACTCTTTATTGCCTTTGCTACTTACAGTGCAGCAGGATCTCAAACAACGGTTGTGTTCAGTTATGTCCAAAAAAAATGTTTCAAACTGAAAATATGATACCCTGCCCCTCATTCCACATATTTACTGAAAAAAACAATTAGATACTTTCCAGACACGAATGAGTACAACCATAGTTAAACATATGCATGCGCAATGAATATGTGTTTAAGTAAAATTTCCCTTGTTTTTAAGTGTACGACTTCTAAAAACAGTTGGATAAAATTGGGATTTTGTAATGAATCTATAAAATTTGGTAAAATGAACCTCAATATTAGCAACTTTTAATCATTACAAAGCTGATGTAATTACTGTCATCAATATAGAGATAAGTTAAAAATTGTGCCCTGAATAGGAAACTTTTGTTGTAATGACTAATTCACTGTACATAAAGATATGTTATCATTATTTTTATGTCACAGACAAAATACAGTGTTTAAGTAAAATATTGAAGTTTGTAATAGAAACTTCTCTTTTACTAATTTTGGTCCTTTCCCAAAGAGTGGGAAACATTTTTAATGCTGAATACTAATGTTCATTTAGGTAGATTGACACCAGTTACCAGTACACCTATTTGTCATCAGGAAAGATTAGAGGGTAACTGCTATCATTGTAACCAGACTTCATTCATTATTTGTTGTATGGTACATGTGTCAATGTTTTCAGAAACTCCAATAATAGTAATGATGGTGTCAAAAAAAAGGAGATTAAGGTCATTAAAGTGTAGATCGAGTGAAAGAGCAACAAATTAGGATTGCAGACTCTCTTCAATATACAAAAGGGAAAAAAAATCAACACAACTACTCAAGGTGGAAAAAAATGGTTTTAAAGTCCAAATCCATGAAAGTAACTCCTGTACTCAATAAAAGGCTTTGACGATATCATTTACTACAAAATTACAACTATTATTAGTTAGTTTCGTATTATAAATTGGTTAAACTAATAAAAGTTTTTTAATATAGAAATAAAAATATTTGATTTTGAAACTGGGAACAATATTTTGTATGCCATGGCCAGAGTAACCATGCAGCCGGGCGTTTTCAGAGCTCACTACAAGTAATGTATGCATTACCCCCTGCAGGACGGAGGACTTCAAAGAAGAAATTACCATTATGATGCATTTAAGAGCAAAATAGTAAACATTTCCTTTCAATTTGTAAAGATTGGGAAAGGCTTAGAGTAATGTCAGTAGTCAGGAATGTATAATGTGCTTGTTTACAGTTTGCAAGGTCTGCAGTTCAAGACCAGCAACGGACTATATTTTTTTATCACTCTAGGTTCATTTATAAGAGCATATTTTTTGCCACTACAGCTTGACATGGTCATGAGTGGTTACTGCGACAGTGTAAAGTTACCTACTGTCACTTAATAGACAAAATAAGAAATTAATGTCAAAGTTTCTGACGGAGAGAATACTTCAAGTACAATCCGTCTCCTATTTTCAGTTTTCATCTCCTCAATTCCAGAAATATGATAAAGTATTCTTGGTACGCTCACAGGTACACCACAAAATTATCTGAATTTGGTTGGAAGCTGGGCTGAAGTATTCTCAAGGAAAATACATGGCATTCATACTTCTTTTGATGAAATTAGTTGCCAAATTGTAAGTTTCATAAGTAATTAATACGATTGTTGTGGGGCACAGCACACTATACAATGACAATGAATTGGGCGAGTTTAGTGAATATTGTGAGAAATGAAGAGAAATGTTTGCAGTGGTGTTGCCAACAAATTCTGGCATTGTTTACTAATAATTTTCAATTTCAAATATCATTGGACAAGTTCAACGGTGTTTTATGATAATTGCATAGTGAACTTCAAGATAGGTGGCAAAGTGTCCAATGGCACACAGAAGAGAATGGAAAAATTTACTTTGGAATAAAATGCATTGGTCAGAATCAAGGTCTTGAAAACAGAAGCTTGAAGGCTGGAGCATGGAACAACTTTTACATACATAGTAAAACATCAGATGTAATAGAAGTATTTGGGGGGAAAGGTAATTTTGAATCAAATATGTTGGAAAATATATGTTTCACAGCCTCAAGGATTGTTATGTTAGTTGCCAAGGCCAAGAGCTGAAGTCTCGGAATGAAGATGGAATTGGACACACAGGGTGAATCGTCTAATTGCTTACAACTGCATACTGTGAGAAAGGTTGCATCTTCATGTACTCTAATGCTAGCTAAATTAATTCACACTTCACTTTTCCAATCTGTGAGGTAGGTACTACGACATTGAACAAGTAGAAATGGCATCCATTCCCAGTAAATACATAAATAATAATAAAATCAATCAATTGAAGCCAGTCATTTCAATTTCTCATTTGTGCTACACTAACTAGTGATGAGAAGCAGCACCCTGCCTTTCACTTGCCTACCCATTCAAGCCTGGCAGAGCTGTCCAGCTGAAATGTGTAACCTTCCTAGATAAGATTTCAGCTTTAATTTTGGAGCCTTATAATGAACACTGAAAGCTAATCTTTTGTTTACAGGTTTCCCTGAACACATTACAGATGACTTCAAAATCGGCAAATTGACAAGATTTGTTGTTACTATAGAAACTTTGTTACTATAGAAAATGACATACTTGTTCAAAATCAAGACTAGCAATGTATTCCAAAGCTTCTTTGTAGCAACCACGATCTTCTGTTTGAATTTTTAAAACCCAGTCATGATGTGCATGCTTTCTGGCAAGCAACAAGGCATCTTCAGGAGATGCATGTCGACAAACTTTAATTGCTATCTCAACATCAAAATCAACTTCACGATCTTTGGTCTGAAACAAAGAAATGAAAGAAAAGAAAAGGAAACACACACACACAATATGGTGTACATATGAACAAATTAAGTACAGCTTTATGGATAGTACATTAGTAAGACAATTTCTTTCATTACATCCTCTCAACTATAAATCAGGATTATTAAAAGGCAAGCTAGCAGCACTTACCAAAATAAATTCTTTGAGACGATCAGTGTGATTGAGCTTAGTATAGCAATTTAAGAGAAGTGTGGTGTGATCTCCTGTGGCAAGCCCTTGTTTATGAAGGGCTTGGAGGTAGGTTGTTAATTTATCAATATGTTGGGAATCCAAAAACTGCAAATTAATTTACATCATTTTCAAGGTTTGCTGACAACAAAGACAGTAATGTAATCACTACAATATAAATTATTCTTCATAACACACCACATTTTGTACTGAGAAAAAACAAATTAAAATACACCTTTCTTGCTAAAAACATCTGATGACAACTTAAAAACACAGAGAGACAATAAACCAAACTTCATCTTACTTTGCGTATAATGTAGGAAGGCTCAAGACGACCAATTGTGCGAATATACTGCTCAATTGCTGCAGAATGATCACCTTTTGCATACAGATGATCACCATATTGTCGAAATATATCTACCAGTCCCTCTGCATCATATTTCTGACTTTTCGCAATTCTACAAGAAAAAGGTTTCATCAAAAGACAATACAATTAATCTTCGAGTTTTACCTGCAAATATTTTTCCAAATTGTACTCAGTACTTCAACAAAACATTCAAACTCAAAAAACATATTTTGCAGTTTTCACAGGAATTAAATTAAGTGTTGCATTAAAATTATATAAGGACAAATTCCTGATAATTATTCTAATGTTTTTGACACCTTAAAACTTTGCTTTGAAATTTCAAAGAAGATTTTTAAGCAAGAAAACAATTATTAAAAGGATTCCAAAATCAAGATGGAAATATTTTGTCATATTCTTAGCCATTATGCAAATTACTTTCAATTAATTATTATGTCAGTCAAGAATATTCACAATAGAGTTGTAAGAAGTTAATTTTTGAACTGCATTATCCAAATACCAGTTTCTCATTCTACATCCCCTTTCCTTTGTTGTTTACTAAATATCAAAAGTTTCTCTTTCATATCAGAATACACCATATTGTATGAAAACTGTGTGCATGAGAAAATAATGATTAATAATGATTTATTCCTGGAAGGTTATATTAAAAACAACTTCTTTTCCTAAGTTTTAGTGATTCCTCTTTCTGCATTATAGAAATTAATAGCAATTAATGTATTTAAAAATCCACCAACCGAAGTGGCTCAGTGCTTAGCATGCTGGATTTGCAATACAGGTCAGGTTTCAATCCCCAGGCTGGCCATCGTGATCGGGCTTTCTGCGATATCCCTTTGTCACAAGACAAATGTTGGGATGGTTCCAAAACCCCTTGAACACCTCCCACCTCTTACTGCTCTACCGAACACCTACCATCACCCTAGACCTCCACCCCTCATCATCACCCTATATAATAATAATAATAATAATAATAATAATAATAATAATAATAATAAAAAAAAAAACACCTGTGTGGTGTCCTGGTGTTTTTGTAGAATAGTGCCACGGGATCTGTCCCTGTCGTAAAAGGCGACTAACAGGAGCAGCTGACTGCTGCCCCTTCATCTAAAATTGATTCATCTTTCGTTCTCCATTCCTGTTTTTGCTGTTCCCTCTATTCCATTGCAAAATGTCCCTTACCTGTTTTCCTGAATGTCTTCAAAATATTTCCTATCCATTTCACCACTTTTTAATTTCCCCAAAGACCAAACCTACATGGACTACTACGGTACATGGGGAATGGTACAGCTATGGTACATGGGGAATGGGCTAAGGCACTATTGCGTGTCGGCTGTCAGGGCAACAGCAATCCGCTAAATCAGATGCCTGTCTTCTCCTGGAAGCTGGGAGAAGACCTATGTGCCTGACTTCCGGGAAAAGGATCAGCGAACCTCCTGGCAACCGGGAGATGGAGCAGCATCCGAGATAGCCATCTCTATCTTTTTGCGGGCTGTAGGTGCCTGAGCTACGACCTTAGAGGCTGAGTGATGGTGTGCAATGGGGCCCTGGCTCAAGAGACGAGAGGTGCTTCCACTCTCGCCTTTTTCCCGATCTGCCGGTGGAGAAGCAGTTATGAGAAGTCAAAGGACTCGTGACGCAAGCGACCCGCACTTGCAAGGTGGCACTGGGTGGGTGGGTTCGCAGTGAGAAATGTGCAGAACAAAAGCCAGTGCATGAAATGGTCTAAGAAGTTAAATATCTCCATTATGCACTCATACACTTTGGCTACCAGAACAAACATGGAGAGATACAGGTCACGATTTCACAAAGAATGGTTAAAGCTGCATCATTGTAAGGAACTTTCTCTCAGCTGCAGAGATAAATACCAATAGGGAGAACATAAGATCATCCTTGGGTATTTAGAATGAGACTAATGAAGAAAGAAATAATGAAGACCTACAAGCTAATCAGGAATGGTCTGTGGAGACGAATTCTGCCTCCCAGTGCCTGAGCAATTCTCTTGGACTGCGCACAATGAAGCCATACTATCATGGTATTGACTACCCTCCAAACCATGGATCCTACGAGTGGGATATGGTGCACGTACAAATGCATCGATGGAAGCTGTTGTGACTTGCTGAAGGTGGATGTAGAACGATTGACAGCACTTGAGGAAGTGGTAAGCTACGTTACTTGTGCAGCCCTTTCTGTTGTACAGGGTCTTGGTAAACCTGTCAAGGATAAATTGAAAACGTCGAAAGACACAGTACAGTTCGCTAAGCCCACTAAGCCCCCATGGTTAAGGTGTATTGAAAACAAAATTGAAAGCTTCCGGTGGGACATAGGCACTCTGACAGCCTTCTTAAAAGCTCCTGAGAATGCAATGAATGCCTCAAAATTTTGAGGAGAGACTCCACGACTGACTTGAGTATCTGAAACAGCGTGTTGCAGCCCTTGGGTGCCGTATAAGAAGATATAAAGCAATGAAAAGAAAACAACAGAATGTTTTATATTCACGCGACCAGAAATGTTTCAGGCAACTCAGTGATCAAAGGAAGTTGCCTGAAATAGTTCTTAAAAGCTCCGAGATGGAGGAATATTGGAGTAATATATGGAGCATCCTCAAGACCCATGATGATGGAGTTTACTGGTTAGCAGAAGAGGACAGGAAGTGTTGTGATATACCTCAGATGTGCTCGCCTAATATTATACAGAGAGATATCTTTAATTTCGTCAGAAAGATGCAGAATTGGAAAGCGGCAGGCACTGATGGGATTCAAAACTTTTGGTAGAAGTCTTTCCTGTGTACTCATGCAGTTCTAGCCAGGTAGTTTCAAGCTGCATTCAACGATCCAACTATCATTCTGGTGTTCCTTACACCAGGGGAGGTTCTGGGGTTCCTTACAATAGAAGGAGTTACATTTATGATAAACTAGTCTAGCAATCCTAAGACTCCGAGTAACTATTGACCTATCACGTCTCCCCACGGTATATAAGATTTTTAAATCTGTAATAGCCAGTATGCTGAATACCCATCTAAAGGCCAACAATCTTCTGGCACCAGAGCAAAATAGATGCAGAAAGGGTGCTCAAGGTTGCAAAGAATTATTGATTGTAGTCAATCAAGGTAAAAAAAAGACACTGCAATATTTCTGTATGATGGATTGACTATTCCAAGGCCTTCGACTAGATACCTCATTCGTGGCTTTTGTATGCCCTTTGCCTCTACAAAGTAAATGCCCAGTATGTGAACTGAATCCAACACTGCATGACATGGTGTACAAAGATAAAAGTCTCATTTGCTGGAGGCAGCTATACACCAAGGAACTGAGGATCAAATGAGGAATTTTTCAGGGAGATAGTCTTAGCTCCTTATGATTCTCTCTAGCTCTAAATCCTCTCAGCAGAATGTTAAGAGATTCAGGGATGGGATGTGAAACACCAAAAATCCCCATATCCTCATTAATAATCAGTTCTGCATGGACGTTCTCAAGTTGAATGCTAGAGATAAGAACCAGCTTTCCTAGTTACTTGAACTTGTTAAGTCCTTTTGCAACTCTATTTGTATAGAGTTTGGCATTGATAAATGCGCTGCAGTGCTTGTGAAAAAGAGGAAAATTCTTGATCCTGACAAATGCATCCTGTGGCACAAATATTCAAGAACTTGGGCAAGAAGATACCTATAAATATTTAGGTCTGCACCAACTTTTGAGTTCAACTGAAGCAAAGATGAGATGTGATATTAAAAATAAAGTCAAGCTAAGAGTCTCAAAAATCTGTAAAACTCTTTCAAATGGAAAGAACCTGATATCAGCTATCAACACTTGGGCAGTACCTGTTGCTGTCTATACATTTGGTGTTCTTCACTGGACAACAACTGCACTACAGGAGCTTAATTGAAAAGTTAGGACCACTCTTATGAAGTATCGTATTCATTATCCCAACAGTTCAATGGCAAAACTATACTTACCTCAGAACGAAGGAGGTATAGGTGTTCAGAATTTTGAGTCCTTGTGTGTGCGAAGCAAATCCACAACCTTCGCAAGTACTTCCTTCAGAAAACGACAGTCATGCATGAAGCAATTTGCGCCACGGACAAGAATTTTACCCCACTGAACCTGAATTAAACGGACTCTGAAAGACCATGTATCATCAAAGAAGATAGAGTGAGTGAGTGGACCCAGAAGCTTTTGCATGGCAAGTATCCTAATAGGCTCAAACAAAACGCTGCGAATATGGGATCGTCAGTCTCCTGGCTAACAAAATCTGGCATTTTGGCTGAGACAGAAGGGTTTATCATTTCTATTCAGGACGAAGTAACCTCCACTCGTAATTACCAAAGGTATGTAATTGGGGATATATGTGTAGAGGACTGCTGCCACATATGCAATTAACCCTGTGAAACCCTTCAACAAATCATGGCAGATGCGCTGCTTTGTACAAACAGGATATCTGAGTCAGCACAACGATGTTGCTGTGGTTGTCCATTAGGCCCTGGCTGCAAAGTCAGAGATGATACAGAAAGAGGCCCCATACTAACAAGTTCAAGCCGGATTCAGATCTGGAGTCAATACAGTGGAAGCTCTTATGGGATGTAGCAGACACCACTAATAGCGGGGTTGAAGCCAACAGACCTGGCATAATATGGATTGATAAGGTCTCACGGAAAGAGATTATAGTCGACATAGCTACCCCTTTAGACCAAAATATAGTTGCCTCTATTGCCAAGAAGAGAAAATATCAGGCCTTGGCTATTGAACTGAGTGACATGTGGCGGTTAGTATCCGTTGAAGTAGTATCTGTAGTCATCTCTGCAAATAGACTGATCTCTGAAGAACTTATTTCATTGTCTGAAAGGCTTGGCCTTAAGAACTGGCACATTCAATGAATGCAAGAGGCTGCTCTCCTGAGTACTGCATGCATTGTGAGAAAGTTTTTATTGATGTAACTTCACGTTGAATCCTGACCGCCCGAGTTTGCAAAGCGAAGCAGGCACCTTGCTTCTCCAAAGCTCCCAATAATAATAACAATGATGATAATGATAATAATAATTATAACAATAATAATAGTAACAATAATAATAATAATAATAATAATAATAATAATAATAATTATTATTATTATTATTATTATGATTATTATTATAGTAATATATGTAAAAATCCTCCATTTCAACAAAAATAATACCAAGTTAAAACAAAAAAGATTTTTTTTAATGAATTTATTATTTTCAACATAAGTGAAATAAATAGTCAGTAAATGTACCTAATAGAAACATCATACAAGTTCTTCTTGAAAAGCAATGCAAGTTTTGACTGTAAATCTCGTTCTTGTAAAAGCCACAGTCTGGGAGCAGTGCCATCTCCTCCTCCAGTCAGCAAGTATACAGCACCCCACTCAGCAAGTACTGCTTGCACCTCCCGCACAGCAGCTGAGAATACTATGAATTTGTTCTGAATATCAAGAACAGTGACTAGTTGTTTTCCTTGGTCATTTGTTGATCCTGGTTCTCCTCTAAAAAAACAACAAAAGATTAATAAACAAACCTAATGATACTTTATAAATAGATGACCTAAATGTGTTAAATCCAACAGTTTTCACAAAAAATTATAACAATAAAAATCAGAGGAAGTTTCACAATACAGTATATGGATGTAAAAAGCTTCCCGATTCATTGACACTAATGTTAATAATACCCTGCATGTTCCAATTGTATTGAATTTCCATTAGAAAAACAGAAAGTGATTCACTACCACTCCAATAGTAATTCTTAAAACAACTACAAAAGAAAATACTAACAATGAAAGACAACAACTAGATGCTTTTAAAAATACTCCTAGTTTGTGATTTCTTTCCTAACATTTCTTACACTTGAAGACAACCTGATAAAAAGATAATATATTTCATCAACAGTGAATTTAATAACAAAATCGTATGATTCATTTTTTTTTATTAGACACTCAAATACAGGTTTTAGAAATGAATTATATAAATTTATCTGTCAACAATTTTTTTATTCTCTTCAATTCTGAATTGATGAATAAAACCATTTGATCATGAAGCTCTTTCAAGAAATTTATACATACACTGTAGATGTAGAATTAGCTGTTGTAGCAGATCGTATAATTCCACCAGGTCCAGTCTTATTTTCTTGAGCAACAATGATAAGGTATGTGCGAAACCACTGAAGTAATTGCTTTTGTCCCTCAACTGCATAACAAGGCCCTCGCCCATCTGGAGTGTAGCAATACACTGCCTACATAATACAAAAAGCATAATTGACAAAAAAATTATTAACAAACATTTGCTGAACACAGAATGGTCAATTTGTAAAATGAAGAGGCTGTCAAGGAAAAAAAATCTACACTTCTTGCCGTAATTATTTTCCTTTAGACAGCTAAAATGTGAATGTGATTTTTCAAATTATGCCCTTGTTGATCAATTAAATGTTCATTCACTTATTCATTTATGAAAATAGGTAATTTCCCAATACAACATAATCATTACTGTGAAGCAAATAGTCAATGCAGTTTTACATTTGTTCAAATATATTAACTGAAATCTAGACTAGAGAATTAATTGATATTTAGAAAGTGAAAATTCTATTGTTTGCTAATTCACCCATACAATGTAAAGACCAATAAAAATGAAGATTTGTTCTTTGTGTGGAAGTTGAAAATAACATTTGATTAGATCTTCTCAAGCCTCCAGTGGAACTTGAATGTTAATCCTCACTAATAATACCTCAAAATGTATATCATTGCTGCAAAGGTCATAAAAAAACCATACGGTAATTAATATTTCATTGTGAACATTTTAAGGTATTCACTATTTGTTCATAGTCATGTGATAATCTCTCGAGGTAATCCAAATTTCTGTGCCATATAATTGAAAATTGTATTCTGTATTGTTTCTAGTTTTGTAATGTGGATTTGATACAAAGGTGACCAGACAGCACTTGCATACAGAAAAGATTGATGAACCAATGTTAAATATGTTTTCAAAAATGGAGTATTTGTGCATTATCATTCTTCTTGTGAATCCTAACAATATTAACTTTTACAGAAATGTATTGATCAAGATGATCAAATTTCAATTTAAAATCAAGTAGATCTTTAAATTTAGATACAGATTCTAATCTGTACCCATCCAATAATTGTATTGATTGATTAGTGTTTTTGGGCACGTCAACTGCTAGTTATTATTCTCATAAGATAAATGCATGTTTTTAAATGCAGTAGCAATAATATTACCCTACTGGATGGTGAGGTCCGGCGCTGACCTATATAGGCTTGCGGGGATTTTGGCCAACCAGGAATCTCCCACCAGTAGGGCACCATCTCAGCTGGGGCAAGTTCTAAGCTCCTGAATGGTCTCCTGACTATGCATGTGTGCGTGTAAGGGGTAAGGATAGAACAAGGAAAAAGAGAAAAATCACATGCACTCTGCGGCCAGTTTGTTAGGATACAGCTCCAGCATTCATCTGGTATTGATCGGAGCAAACACGGAAAACTCCTGATCAGAACAGCTGGCCCTTCGAATTCTCCTCCACACAGCAGCTGACTTTGATCCCGCAGACTTGCTAGTGTAAAAAAGTCTTTCACCGTCAGGAGAGGAACCCTAGAACCTCTCGGTCAGAAACACTGAAGTGACATCAGTTTATGTCCTGAGTCACCTTTGCTGGTATAGTTAATTTAATTCCTTTTAGAAATGATATCTAACCATTTTACATTTTTGTATATTTAAGTGTTATTCATTTGAACGACACTGTACTGAGTGGATGTGAAGAATTTGCTCTATGGTTTTATACTCCTCAATAAATTTTATATGAAGATATAATTTCAAGTTGTCAGCATACAGTATGTAGTTACTAGATGGAAAGGTGGACTTAATTTATGAATATTAAATAAAGTAATGGTCCAAGATGAGATTCTTGGGAAATACTTGATCTTACATTATGTGACATACCAGAACCCCTCCCCCCTCCCAAGGCATTTAATAAAGGGAAATATGCATTGAATAGATGTTTACTTTAGAAATGGATGCATACAAAACATTCTAGAGTAAAGAAAACATGTTGTCAGGACAAATAGCCAACAAACTTTGTGTTTGGCGCTCGAGGGCTGAATGCAATATTCTTGTGCAAAACATGGCCCCAGAACAAAATTTTGAATAAATTACAAGACGACGTTGAAAATTGAGGTTCTGCAATTATTTAAAATGTGTCATTTTCTCTCTTTGCAGCAACCGATGTGGACGGTACTAATTTTACTGACTTAGGCTGGGTAACATTTTGATGTTAGGAAATGAGAAGCTTACATGAATTACACAATTTCTTTTATGTATAGTATATAATTTCTAATTTGAGGATATCATTTTTACCCTATGTTATAATTTGTGATTTTGTGGATTCACATAAAATAAGACTTTGTATGTGGGGAATTTGTGCAGAATAGATTTGTAATTGGACATTATAAATTGGTTTAAGTAAAGTAAAATGACAGGCAGTCGCAAGTAGGTGCTTCATTCAAGGAACAGGAAGTCGCGTTTGTGGACTGCATTAATTTAGTAGATTGCCTCACAGAATATTATTATAAAACAGTTAGGATTTTCGGGGAACATTACAAAAATTCTCCCACTACTAGAATTTACGATGATAGCAGGAGCACCATGAGAACATTCCATGGATGGTATCTGGACGGATAACATCTTGAAGAACAGCATAGAAGATATTTTACGATATCTTACGAAGATAAGCTTATGAATATTATGTGAAAGAAATACCATACAGAATTTGTGAATGTACAAAGTTAAGATAATCCAAGTCATTAATGACCTCAAAGACGAAAAAAATGTAAATCTGTAGAAAAAATGTTACCGTTTTATTATCAAACAAAAGAAAAAGGCTGATAATTTGTAGAAGTTGCCATCAACCTTTTTATAACAGGATAACACAGCAGAACTTCCAGGAATTGCAGTTCTGTACAGTGTTGCATGTCCACATATAATAGTAAAACAAGAAGGTATAGTAATCTATGACAAAATCAGGTTTGGAAAAATTTTATGAAGTTTAAATAGCAAAATTAATCACTAATAAATGCAATATGAACCGGGCAACATAAATAATTAACATTTGTAGAAAAAGGGAATCATCACAAATGGCTGCCCAACCTGGGGCAGAGTAAAATAAATAATTAATTGGTGGAAGTTAGTTTAGTTTTAAAAAAATCTCACTAAAATCTCTTGAAATAAAAGCTTTATAGTTCACATTTTGTATTTTATTCTTAAGGTAATTTTTGATCCATCTAAAAAAGTCACATGTATACCAATTTCATAGTGTTTGCAAAATCAAGTCATAATTAAGTGAAAGGTTAACTGATAAATCTGTATAGACTACATTAACTTGAATAGCGTCTTTAGTTTTTCCAAAACAAATTGTTGAAAGGTTAAAAGGTTTGTGATAGTAAACCTTTTACCTCTGAATCCATATTATTCATCTACATTATGATTTTCAGATCAGATGCTAGTTTTTCTGCAATTATATCTTCAAATGGTTTTGTAATGGTGTTAAATTTAGATATTGCTTGATACTTTTTAATGTTTTCTCTATCGTTGGATTTATGAATAGTTGTTATGAAACTTTTTTTCCAGAAATTTGGAAAAATATGTTCATTCAATAACTTAGTACAGAGTTGATGATTAATGGAAACTATATATGCTATGAAATTTTCTAAAAATGAGGAAGGAATCACATCAGCTCCCAGTCCAGTTTTTGTACTTAGTTTCTCAATAGCTCTCTAAACTATTTGTTGTGTAATATCTATATGGCTTATGTTAATAATTGAGTTTTCATAAGTATTTATCACAATAGTGGTTGATGATTAAGAGGTAAATACCGACTTAAAATTATCAACAAACAGATTCACAATATCTTGCTCATTGCTCCAATGATAACGAATGTATTTTGAAATTCTCTTTTAGGAAAAGAACACGCTACACAAATTATCTCCTGACTCGCAAGTAGTCTCTGGAAAAATATGAAGTATGAAACAAAGAAATATATACATAAACATGTAATGAAAATTATAACAATAGGTATTGAGGTAAAAAGGAATAAAATGTGTTATATGAAAACACTCTTATTTTCCCATTTACAAACAAAATAAATTAACACTATCTCAAATTGCAGTAATAAAATATTTATTGAAAAAGACATTTTGCTCGGTCTAGAGGATTCACTTTGGTAAGAGTATATTTTTAATTTTTCAGAGCAAAGATAGCCATCATACAAATGAGGGAACTCAATGATTAGCAAACAATCACTGTAGCATTGTCTCCGTGGTGCTATGCGACTGCAGAAAAGGCAATATTTCTCAGAAATTGGGATTAAAGAAAAAGAAAAGTGATATCGTTGACACTTTCCAAATCTAAACGTAATTCTCTCACTGCTATTTGTAACATGCATGCAGTGCACACAGAGGTTAATCGAGGCAGATTGCATGCACTTGACTGTCTTCTATGGGGCATGCAATTCTAAATTTGTGGAAGAAAAAATATGCTGACTTTTACTTACAACAAAAACAAGAAGAAACAAACGTTTTTTAAAAATTAATTAAATAATTTTTGCAAAATAAGTTTCAAGACAATTGACATAATAATAATAAATGTTAAAAATTATGCAAAATTTGTAATTTAGTAAAAAGAGAAAAAAAGAAGAAAAATATGCACTGAAAAATTTAGATATTGTGTTAGGAATGCCCTGAGTAACCAAGATCACAATTTCTAGAGCTGAACATACAAAGACAAAAAAATATAATGAATTCAAACTCTAGTCATAAGCTTGTAACGAATACAATCATATTAGAATTACACGTAGATCATTAAGTACAAATTTGTCAATAATCTAGCTCTTCTAGGCACCTCTTCAGAAATACTGAGAATTACTATTATAACAAACAATTCAAAAAGCATAAAATATTATTATATTACACCTATAAAAGTTAATGCCTTTCTTTCAAATACAAAATGTTCCTTTTTAAAATAGTAAATAAAAATATTCATGCTCAAATGATTTATAAAATGCTGGATACTGAAAATTTGTATACAAAGAAGGTACATATAAGTAAGTCAATAAGGTTTTAAAGAAATTCTCCTTATAGGCAAAAGTATATGCGTTACTTGAATACTACTTATTTGCCAGTCTAAAAGAAATAATAATTAATAAATGATCAAAATTCTATACAGACCTAGACTAATATATAATAAACTTGCCTTTTCTTAGAAAAATGTACCATTCAATAATCTTGTATTCCCTTCTTGATTCAATAAATTCACAATTTTGTTATGCTGTTATAGTATATTCATTTCTTAAAATTAACATATTACATTTTTATAGTAGATACATTGAATTGTAGTAACATTATATACAAATAAAATGTCAGTTTGGAATGTATTCTTTATTTGTATTGATACAATATTTGAAATTAAACAATGGCCTGATATTAAAAAGAAGAGAACACAAAGATGGAAAACAAGAAATAAGTAAGTTTTTTTTGCAAATTCTTTGTCTAGTTCAAGTGGTCTTTAATGTTCTGGTCTTTATTTTTAATTCTTTCATACTAAACTATAATAACATTAAAATTGGTTTCATTTTCAGACGTAAATGAAATTATTTGAGTTTTGTTCACACCTGAAGTGTAAAACTATTACGAAAAATGTTGTGGTCCTGAATATGTGAAAATATAATGATTTTTGAAAAACAATTGTATTTCAATTGTCAAAAAAGAAAAAAAGGATTCCCAAGTGAAACTAATGGTGCTACAAAAGCACATACCTTCTCACATTATTTCTAACTGCTCTACTACGCTAAAGAAATGCCATATGGATCAAACTCAGGCAGATGGATAAAAGCTTAAATGCTCGCTTCATGTTAAAAAACCCTCAAACATTACAATTCCGTTTGAAACACCCAAAGCCTCGAGTTCGATCAGGGAGTATCGCTTTTGGAGAAAATCAGATGAACGGTTTAGGCACTTGCATTGACCTCTGATGCAGACGTGGATGGACACACAGACGTTTTGCCGTTAATTAATTTTTTTGGAATCAAGGATGCATAAAACATGGATTCTGGCTACACCATGTGTTAGAGGAAGTTTTTTTATATTTAGCAACTGCATTTATCCACTTTTTCGTTATCAAGGCTTGGCAATAAGAGTTTTTCTGTCAAAAATCCGTTGTTTTCCGTGTACGATTACATAACTTTCACTTCTTACAAAGTACCTTCGTAAAGGCGAATAAGTAATACGCATTTGCAAAAATTCTGTGTTGGAAAAATTTTGGGTTCAGCTTTTTTCTCGAAAACCCTGTATTGCATACTGAGCCATGGAGAGAGAAAAATATCATGCAACTTTTAGCATTCATTGCCTTGGGTGTTCTGGCCAGCTTGCCCACCTCTCTGATGGCACAGGAGCTGTCAACAAGGCAACTGGGTTATTGAACTGTGGACCCTGGTGATTTCAACAGAGATTGATAAGCTAGAAGAGTACGAGTGTCTTTGCCATCAATTTAAAATTAAAATTACGAACAGCAGCAAATTTCTCGATATATGTTTACTTTTATGGGTTGGGGAATAAATACATTCTGTATTGAAAAATAACAATAAACAAAACTCCCCGATAAAAAAAGAAATTAATTACTAAAATATAACAATCTTTCTAATCTCAAATTTAACTTTCTCCACGTCAATTAATCATGTAATATATTCAATCAACCAGTGTTCACCAGCCTAAACTTATAATTTGAACATAAAAATACTTTATTATTTCACTTTAACATAGTCAATGCTCTAGTAACTTGAGTATTCATCACTAAAATGTAAATGCTTGCTTCATTAAAAAAACAACAACCTGAAACTCTTCTAAATGGAGTGATATTTGCTCATCAGTGAGTTTTTTGAATTAATTTTAGCTCTTGCAACTGAAATGAGGCAGAATATAATAAAACATAATCATGAAGGAACTCTAGTAATCCAATTTTATATATCCAGGAGAAACAAAATGAGATGAAGAGATTTGAAAGCAAAAAGTAATGTTTTAGAAAAATCAAAAGGAATAGCTAGTACAAAAAGAAGATAAAATGTTTGTCAAGAAAGGAAATCAATTAAAATGCAAGAAGAAGAAGAGTCCCAGGCTGACCATGAAAATATTGCAAAGAGCAGGGACATCTCGATGATAATAGTATCTCTTTTTAATATCAACACTACAAGGCATGCAATCTTTGTCCCTGCACTGATAGAAATGAATGAATGTCTTTCATTTAATGCATCGGATTTAACCTGGCAGTACATGCAGGTGGTCTGAGAGACTCGGGAAGCCTTTATTCTAATATTGTGATTGTACTTTAGCCATCCGTGACCTCTCCTTCCAGGTACCTTTTCTTTCCAGAGGTAGGAGTCCCACCTCTTTTGAGAAAGTGAGTATTGTTATCCTTTCTCGTAATGAGACATTCCAAAACATTGCATGGGCCTCAGAGACCACCTGCGTGCACTTGTGCATCAGCTTTTGTTCAGTACTTTACACAACTTATATATTAGTGCAAAATATGCAAAAAGTTTATTTGTTAGGAGCATTCACTGACAGTTAGTAAAGCATGCAATGAAGGAACGTTGTCGTAAAATATAGAAAATATAATGAAAATGATATTTCAGCCTATTCCATTTTTGCAATTTTGTTAATTTGCGTACAAACCACTAAATTCAGTAATCAATTATTTAAAATATATCTCATTATTGAAAATAATGTTCCTCTTTTTTTCAAAATTATAAAGGGAAATTAAATTAAGTGAACTGCAAACAGAAGAATCTGGGAGACCAGGTGCATGCAGTGATGTTACAGAAATATGTGTATGGTGTGGGATTAAGATACAACTTTGAGCCTTGCAAAAAACATACATAATTCTCCAAAAAAAAATATTAACCAAAATACAATAACCTAAACAGAAATAAATATTTTAATTTCTATTTATCGGGACAAAAATTAATAAAATGTTGCATAGATACTGCAAAAGAAGAGAAAAAAATAACAAAACAACAGACACATTTCAATTTGTGTTTTACAATACTAAAAGTTATTTATAGGTCCAGCAGACAGGGTGTATGTGCATTCAGGAAAACAGTAAAGTACTCACATCTTCTCGACCAATCATGAATTGACTATCTGGAAGTGATTCTGCCAGGACTGAGCATCGTGGTGCACAGCCCATTCCATCCAAATGAACCTGTCATAATGCAAAACATGATTAACTGCAACCTAAAGATGATAATTAATGTAACAAAAACTGACAACTTACTTTTTGTTCTTTCTCTTTATGTGTTATATTAAAAAAGAATACATTAGCATTGGTTGCAACAAACAACAAAGTATGTTTAGCTGTACATAAGAAACTCAGCCCTGTGACAGCTGTATTTCCATCACGAAGAGTTCTTTGCTTGCAGCCTCGTTCTCTTGTTATGTCTCCTGCAAAACACATTCTCTTCTAAATATTCTTGAATAATTTGTCTAGTATGCAAATTATAGGTGACAATATGTATCAATATTTATTGCAACATCTACTTGGAAATATAACCCCATTATAAAAAATATATTACTTCAAAGGAGAAGAAAAAAAAAATAGTTTTATTTAGTTAGCTAATGAAACTTTTTTCATAATAGGGTGCATGTTCTTTTGGGAATTTCGTTTCTGACAAACAACTTGACAATTAATAGTATGACTATTGATTATCTCACACTTTATATTACACAATTAGAATTGTTTTCCCGTAAAAAATTTGTTGTTAATGAATGGTACACGTTTCATTATTTATTTAGCAGAGACAGTTTTCCAATGCACCAGGTGATATGATTTGTTTAACCTCTGGAAGACTAAACTTTTTCATAAAATTAAATTTTTTATATTCTTAAGTTGTTATAACTCATAATTACAATAAATGATATAATATTCAGAGACTACAAATGCCAAACACATTCATTAAAACTAACATTAGAGGATAGTCTAAAGGTTAATAGCTAACCTCGAAGCAATAATATAGATCCGTCACTGAAGCCAATGGCTAACATTGTTGCAGAGTCGTGCACACAAAGGGCAGAAGCAGGTGTCACTTTTCCATGACTTGGAGACGCACGAGTCAACCGAACACATGATGGGTGCCCTTGTTTGTCCATGCGATCCAAATACCATACTTTTAAAACAGGATGTTCACCAGGTTCATCTTCCTGTAATATACAAATTTACAACACTGTGCAAATAGCAAAGACTTAAACAATAATGTACAATAATGGCACTAACCCCAACTGTCACCAAGAGAGGAGAATGTCTCAACTGTTCTGCAAGAACAACATGAAGGGCATAGGCACGAAAACTTGTAACATGCATCAACCTGGTGACCAAATGTATATTTCCTTCAGAATCTCCAAGTACCAAGTGTCCATGACCACTAGTCGCAGCGACCACTTTTGCTTCCTGCAAATGTGTTTCTTATTAAAAACATAACCTCACTGTTTGAACTCGTTATCGCGTTAGTTCTTATTACATTACCTTCAATGCTTCAGCGATTTTCCCATTATCAACATCTTTGTTCAGATCAAAGAAATTAAACCTTCTCCACTATAAACAATGCAATTAGAAACGAAGGTTAGAAAGGAAGATTTTTCTACGACAATTTTCCCATTATAATTTATGTTCTATTTACCTCCAGAAATGCCATAGTTCACTTCAGATGAATGTTAATATTAACTTAATTTTTTTGAGAAACACTACTGTCCGTTGTCAATGACAAGTTACGGACCTTCCATTCGGCGCCATGTTGCATGTTCAGTTGACCGGTGTTTCGAACTGTCACTGAAGAGAAGACGCTGATGTATTGTCCGATTTTCTTTATTATATCAACTACTCATGAATATAGTATGAATTCGGTCCGCTCGACTTTGACTCAAGGAAATTTTCCCTTCAGTTTTATTGTTTCTTTTACATCATAATTTGGCATATGACAACACGTTGCAGGTAAAAATATATGAACATACTACATTGAACAAGACATCCAGAACACGTGACTTTCAGGCAGCATGACAGAGCAATCACGCAGCACTATCGCCTATGGATGGCAAGTACAGGGCAAGTGCAGGAAGTGTCAGGTGATGGATACCGCGAGCTGTTTTTTTTTTACTTCTCCCTACGGAGTAGAGAGAAAGTTATGTAATGCTACGCGAAAAACGGCGTATTTTCGGCAGGATAACACTGATTACAGAGCCCTGGAAACAAAGTGGAGAAATGTAGATTCTAAATTAAATTAAAAACAACAACAAAAAAATACCTCTATCACGTGGTGTGGCCAGAATCCATTTTGTGCCACCCTTATTACCGAAAAAAGGAATGACGGCAAAACGTCTGTCTGTCCGTCCATCTGTGAACAATGCTAGCGGCTAAACCGTTCAGCCGATTTTGTCCAAACTTGATATTCCTTAATTGATCTGGCTGATGTCGCAGCCCCTTGAATTTGAAACCGATATTTTAATTTTGGGTGGGCCCCGATAATGAAAAAGTGGATAAATCTTGCCCCTATACATAAAAAATTACTTCCTCTAACACCCCTCTTGTGAACTGTCCTTGCCTCCTCTTGTGTGATTAAAATCCATGTTTTGTGGGTCCCTGATTGAAAATCGATTGACGGCAAAACGTCCGTCCGTCCGCAACGCTAGTGCATAAACCGTTCAGCTGATTTTCTCCAAAATTGATATTCCCCCATCGATCTGGCTAATGTCGAGGCCCTTGGATTGCAAGTATTTTAAAAAATTTCGGTGTTTTGTATCAGTGTACCTCCTTCGTACCAGTCATTGTATATGTTTTTTCGTTTAATTTTATTTTATTGTATGTGATGGTCCATTCGGACGCGTCTCTATGAATATTAATACTGCACAAAATAACCAAAATTGACGTATTTTAATAAAGAGACAGTCGAAGGTGCAATAGTGGAGGAAAAAAAATGTTACTTATGTCTAAAAATCCAAGGTATTGTGTTGTTAGCAGACCTGTGAGGAGTGAATAAATAAACAAAGAACATATAGGAAATAAATGAACAGTCGCTCGAACTCCAGGCTATTTTAGAATAACGAAAAACTTGTATTAAATTAATGTTTGTGTATTAGGCAAAGCTAATTGAATGTTTTTACAGGTGATGAGCGATTACATAAACGTTTAGGTACAACAAGATTAGGAATTTGGAAAAGGTAAGGGAATTAAATTAATTATTTGGATTTAATTAGAATTTATTGCAATGAAGAAATTACAGAAATCTAACGACATTTGTGAATTGGAATGTAGAAATGTACACCGAGTTTGACAAAGAGAAGAGCTGTTGTTTGTTTCAAACTGCGCTGTGTAGAAAGAACAAGGCAATAATGCATGTAGAAGACAGAAGGGTTTGTGATCTGGGAGTGGCCACATTATTGGACGTCGGGTAGGATTTCTTGTAGACTTTTTTGAAAGTTATCGAGTTCGTAAAAGTGACGCAAGTATGTGTATTTTTAATTCGAGAGTGTTTTAATTGGGAATGGAGAAAAGGAGAATATGATACTATGGTACTAGAATATAGTAACTGGAACGAGTGGACGCAGGCATTTGCAGCGGTCAGGGTTGGTGCCATCATCATCAAAATCAATATAATGAATTAATTTACATTTGTATTGTATATTTAAAAAAAGACGTAATATGCTTGTAACAAATAATGTACTTCAGCTTCCGCGTCAATGACCCCCATCTCGATCAGGTTTGTGTCCAGTTTCCCTGATTCATTGAGCAAATGCTGAGATGGCCCCTTGTTTTGCTTCTGGACGTAAATGTAGCTTCACCATGCGCACGTTTTGTTGGACTCTCCTTTTACTTGTAGGAGTAGAGGTTTTCTTTTCTTTTTTATTTTGTTTATATTTGCAGAAGTACATAGTTCAGTAAATGTACGAGTAACATAAACATCTGTGTTAAAAGACTTACTATTCTTAAATGTAAACTTACATACTATTACAAGGGGGAGGAATTCCCGTTAAGGGGTTGTCAGTCAGGATCTAAATCTGCAATTTTTTTAGGAATATGTGGTATGGATATTTGTTTTTTATTTTTGTTCGTAACATGGGGTTTTTAGCCAGTTTGAAGTGTGAAAGGGCTGGGATTTGAGGTGGTTAAAATAAAAGTTGGAGGCGAGATACGTGATATGTTGGTCTGTATGTTTCAGGTTAAATTCATTATGGAGTTGGTTGCTAGCTATATATCAAGGAGCATGAGCAACTATTCTTATAAGAATTTATTTTGCAGAACTTGAAGTTTGTGAATGTTAGTTTTGGCAGAGTTGATCCATTTTTGGTTTCGCATATAGTATTAGCGGTCTTAAGATTGTTTTGTAAATTGCTATGGCGTATTTGTAGTATATTCAACAGTTTCTGTAGATTGTCGTAGCTGTGGCAGTTTTATTTGGCTTGGGCCGCCTTGGCATTTATGTTTTCCCCAATTTAACTTGATATCTAGGTATAAACCTAAGTATTTAATGAGTTTATTAGGGGGTACCAATCTATTATATTGTTATTTAGCGTAAGAGGGAGAGTAAGGTTTTAATGTAAATACTTTTGCAGCTGTTTTGCTAGGGTTTAATTGAATGTTTAGTTTGGCGGCCCAACTGTCTATCATATTCAAATAATGTTGGAAATGAGTTCTCAACTCGCAGAGGTCTGTACCAAAGGTAAAAATGGCCGTGTCGTCGGCAAATTGCGCAATCGAAATTTTATTTAGTGTAGGTATGTCAGCAATATAAAGGTTGAATAGAGTGGGTGATAACGGCGAGGAAATCCTACGTTTATGATTCTAGGGTTAGATAAATGGTTGTTGACTATGACTGAGAAGGATCTATTCTTTAAGAAATTTATTAATATTGACCTTAAGTACTGTGGAGTGCCTATTTTAATGAGTTTATATACGGGACCTTGGTGCCAAGTTTGGTCAAATGCTTGTGTGATATCAAGAATTGTAGTTATGGAGTGATTTTTTTTTTTGAATAGCAGAATAAATGAGTTCTGAGATTTTTAGTAATTGATGTTGTGTTGAGATTTTTTCCGTAAAACCGAACTGTGCCCTGGGCGTTGGTTGCTTGTAGATGATTTTTCAGTCTTTTTAATATGATTCTTTCAAATATTTTGGAAAAAGTGGATAATAAACTGACTGGGCGGTAACTCTCAGGGTTTATATATACCTTATGGTTTTGTTTGGCTTTACTATGGGTATGATGGTTGCGTGTTTCCAATTATGAGGGAAATTCCTATTCTGAAACATGAATTCAAAATGTTTAAATACGCTATGGCCAAAGATGGAAGCTTTTTTAAAGTTTCGTTATTAATATTGTCGTGCCCTGGAGCTTTTTTATGGGCGAGTCTTAATAATTTTTGAAATTTCAGTAGGAGTCGAATAATTAATATTTTGATACGGACCGAAGAAATTTAATTTTATGGTATGAAGCATTATATTATGAAAGGGATGGACACTCATGTTCTCACAGAAAGTGCTTTCGAAATGCGTTGCGAGGGGCTCTGCCTTCTGTATCGATGATAAAGCTTAACCTGAGGTTGTGTTAAAAGGAGGGATAGTGTTTCTTTCTTTAGGATTTTTTTGTGAATTGCCGTAACGTATTGTTAAGCGATTGGATTAGGTTAATATACTGCTCCTTATTGTAGTTTTTGATAAGACCAGTTTGTGATTATATCGAGTTCTTTTTTTTAGCTCTCGTGTTCTTAGGCGCGCCCAGAGTCTTTTGGTTCTGTTTTTCATATTGCGTTTTAAGATATAAGGGGGTAGTTTATTTATAAGTTTGTGTTCTGTGTTTGGAGGTGTAGTATATTCGGAATTTTTGATGGTTGCACTAATGAGGTCGGTTAGAAGGTTAACAGATTGATCTATTTCGAGGGGGTATTTAGTATTTTAATTTTGGGTGTTGAATTATTCGATGAACTTTTTCCAGTTAACCATTAAAGAGTTAGCTTTAGGCAATGGAGCATGTTGAGGCGACATTTGCTGTAATGTGAGTAATACAGGGATATGATAAAAATCAAGTTCAAATATTAGCGGCATATGGAGGTCAATGTTAGCGATGGTTAAGCCAATGCCGAGGATGTCCGGCTTACGAATGCGATCATGCGGATAATAAGTGGGCTCGCTGGGGGAGATCATTTTAATATTAGTATTATTTGCTAGTTGAGAAAGTGTTTTACCGTTTTGATTGTTGCATTGGCAACTCCAGTTGATATGTTTGTCATTGAGGTCTCCTATTAGCAAGACTTTGTCGTTGGGATTAAATAAGTTTTGAAGGTCTGTATTCGTTAATTTTACTGTGTGCGTGCGCGCGCGTGTGTGTGTGTATGTGGGGGTTGTATGCAGCTATAATCTTCAAGGGTGATTGTTAGATATTATGCTATTGTTTCTAACCCTGTAGTTTACGGGAGAGTTTCCTGATTGTGTGTGAGTATAGTTTTACAGCGATGAGAACGCCCTCTCCTTTCGAATCAGTTCTATCCGATCTTTATATTTTAAAGTTGGGAATAAATAGTTTGATTTATTGCTTAAGTGCGTCTCCTTGATGAAATTGTTTGGGTTGGAGATACTGGCAACGAAACTTGGGGGAATTTTAGCTGGTAACTCTGATTGTTCACTGAGATTATCTTTAAGGTATTGAAATCGATTGATTTCTGGTGAAGGTACATCACTGAATACACCAAATCGGTTGTCAAGTTTTCAGTTTTATAAGCTGGGGTCTAACAGTTTATCAAAAACATCTTCATGATTTTTCGTTTTATTTTCGAGAGGATTAATAAAATGACTGTCTGACCTTTTCCGTGCAAAATTTCCTGATGACGATGCTGATGATGATGACGACTGCTCGATGTGCAGCGAACCAACTATGATGCTATCCTATGATCCATGCTGCCTTCAGCGGGGAGCGGGTTTTGAGATACCTGACCACTTGTATCCATCGGTACTCTGGTTATTAACTCTTGTTCTACTTTATGCACTGCACTGCTGGAGAAACGACTGATGTTGTATACATTGTGTAGTATTAATACCCGTGGATT